CCCCCCCTTGAAAATATGTCACACTTCCAACTTGTGCAACAATTTCAACTATGTACTATTTTTTTTTTTTTTTTTGGCTTTCATTTAACATTCTTAATAACTTATTTAAATAGTTGTTTTCTGTTGTCCTGTATTATGTCAATGTCCTAGTAAAGTCATTTTTTTATTTAATTATTTGCATATTTATTTGTAAAAGTACTATTCATGAATGACCTTTATTTTACAGATTAACTCAGTATATGTATCAGACTTTATTTAAGTGCATGCCAATTTCTTATCCAGATTGAGCGTCTTGTGGAGGTCTCCACCAGTTTGGCAGTAAAGGAGTGGAGAAGACTGCCCAGGGTGGTGTCTCATATCCACGTCCACCTCCTCCAGGTAATATACAGTGGTTATTTGAGGCCTCAAATATACTGATAAACAACCATATTCATATACATGAACAGCTCTCACATTAATCAAGTAATTTTTTTAATCAGTTATCAAAATCAAATAGTCACATGAAACAAAATGATTAGAATGAATAGCGATCATTGTTTATAAGCTAAGAATGAAGGAATGGTACCATAAGTTTCACAAAGCTGTCGTTAGTTAGAATTAAGTTGTTAACTAACGACAGCTTCCCTGGCCAGAAACAGTGCTCAACCAGAATGTATGAATTAAGCTTTAATGGTCAATATTCCAGGCTGCCCAGCAGATCATGGAGCTTCAAGAGGCAGCTCAGATCAACCAGGGACTTCAACCACAGAACATAGGCAGGAACTCCAGTCTGCATGATATGAAGGCTATAGTGAAGACATGGAGGTAGGGCAGTCTCTCTCTCTCTCTCTCTCTCTCTCTCTCTCTCTCTCTCTCTCTCTCTCACACACACACACACACACACACACACACACACACACACGCAGCAACACTGACTCAAACTATGAAGTCATTTGAGTCATGTCATTATTTTCTCATATTGATATAAATATGTGCTATTATTTCAGGAATCACCTTCCCATTATATTAGACAGCCTGTCCTGCTGGAGTGATATCTTCACATGGCGACATGCTGCCATTTCCTCATATTGATATATTGGATATTATTTCAGGAATCGTCTTCCTATGATATCAGACAGCCTATCCCACTGGAGTGATATCTTCACATGGCGACAGCATCACTATCAGTTCATTGTCAACCATTATGATACTCACGCACACAATGATCCTGTGAGTATTGGATTAATAAGTTCTGTACTTGAATTAATATGATGATTTTTTTGTTTTGTTTTCTGAAGAGAAGGTGATTGATTAAATATGAAATTGAATTTTTAAATTTCTTCAGATCACTTTCAGTTTATCTCCAAACATTACAATACACTCAATGATTTTATGTGGGATGAATATATTGATTTAAAATTTTATATTTGTTTTTGACTTCTGAACAGAAAAAAGTGTTTTACTGTTTATGGAATCTGATCAATCCATATAACAAAACAATTCAATAAAGTCTATTAATTTAGTGAATTAAGTACTTACTACTGTACAATTGTTGTTAATTTATCTCATCCTGTTTCATGGAATTTGCAGTCATTTATTCTATGTTTGTTTCTAGCAAGCCAACCATGCAATGCTAGGCGTGCATGCGTCTGCGCAGGCCATCATACACTACGGCAAGATTGCACGAAAACACAACCTCACTGGTGTGTGTCTAGACCAGCTGAGCAGGTAAAACAATGCTTGGTTTTATGAAGCTTCAAATTAATCTTAAAAGCAATTTCAAAGTGAAGATTTGAAATTCTTGAACAAATTTTCTTGGGTTGTATCTCAAAGCAGGCACAATTTAGATTTATAATTCTTGAACAAATTGCCTTTAGACATACTATTGTTACAGTACTGTTATCATTTTTATAAGACAAATTTTCATAATTCTGTCTGTTACTGGTGAGTTATAAAAATAAAATCTCTTTAGCTGAAAAATCAGTGCCAAAAACCAAATTTTCATATTGTATTATGCAAGTGGTCAGATAGTACAATGATTATTACTAGAATGCATTTATAGATAAATTCAAGATAGAAAATGGGAAAAGTTCATGACAAAATAATATGATAATTATTATTATATCTTAATGATGTGAAACTTACTTTCAGAATCCACACCATTCCCAGTGTTCCTATAGTGGACTGTTTCCAGAAGATCAGACAGCAAGTCAAGTGTTATCTGCAGATAGCTGGCAGCATGGGAAAGAATGATCTGCAGGAGGTAATGAATACGTACATTATCATGTAGAGATGCAGTACTGCAGTTCTTGTACAGATTCCTATTTGTCCATGTTTGTCTGTGCTGTGTGATATGTGTATGTACTTAATCTATCAAGACTTACACAGTCATGATAAAATAGTCCATAAATAAATTGACAATTTAGCTTCTTTGTATTTAAGACTTTGAGCGAAAGATAATACAGCTTTAATCAATATTCAAAATTTAGCAAAAAATGTACTTAATCATTGTTTTATACTCAATCATGTATTCTCAGGGTCTTGAAGTTATAGAATCTACAAACTTGAGATTCTTCACCAAAGAGATGACAGCTGAGTTTTATGCTTTGAAGGGAATGTTTTTGGCCCAAATTGGCAGGTAAGTAAAAAAAAAGCGAAAGATTGGTAGATCTGCATGTTTTCTGTTTTTATTATCAATTGAGCCTTGGCATTCTTAATCTTTCAAAATATCCAAAATCAAAAAATTTGAAAAAATTATTTATTGGAATTATTGTTACATGTAAGATGACAGTGTACACAAGATTTAACTGTCAGTAAGCTGTATTTGAAATTTTACTTAGTATTTTTTAAATTTATTTAATAAATCTCCAGCAGGTCTTAGTCCACTGATGACATTATCTACATGTCTCATTTTGTAACTCTATTTTCAGGTCTGAGGATGCTAATAAGGCTTTCTCTGCTGCTGTTCAGATGCATGACACCCTGGTGAAGGCTTGGGCTCTGTGGGGAGACTATCTAGAGGGCATCTTTACCAAGGACAAGTATGTATTATGTATTGATTAAAACCTGTTGGTGTGAATTGAAGCATGGCCACTACTTATAATTTGACTAGTTGAATAGTACAATAAATGGTACAGCATATTCATTCAACCAATACATGACAGAATGCTTTTGATGTTGTCTCATGCGCTAAAAATCAAGTTACATCACATGAAAATTTATTAAGATATGGGAATAAACATGAGGCTGTTTCAGATGATGCAGAGGCAGAAACTTAGAAATAACCACTACAAGTTCTTACAGGAGGGCGTAAAATTAAATTTTACCTGATATTCCAAGGTTTCAAAAACATTTTCTTCTCTGTTTCATATAATCTTAAATCTTTTACATTAGCGCTGCATCCAAGAACATAACCCTAGGTGTCTCTGCCATCACCTGTTACCTCCACGCCTGTCGGCATCAGAATGAGAGCAAGTCCAGGAAGTACCTGGCCAAGGTTCTTTGGCTGCTGACCTACGATGATGAGAAGTCGCAGCTGGCAGAGGCTGTTGATAAATACTGCATTGGGGTGCCACCTATACAGTGGCTGCCATGGTGCGTGGGATTTTCTCTCTGAAAATATCTGAAAAAATGGTTGTGATAAATATTTAATTCTGTTGAAATGTTTCCTTTATTTTTAAACTGCTTCAAGCAACATATGGTTTAAAATAAGTGCCTCTGCTGAAAGCTAGTCCACCTAAATATGTTTTTATTTTGAATGAGCAGAAAGTAGATGTATTATAGATTGAATGTGAAATCATTACATGTTTGAAGGACATCAAAATACAGTCATGTTTTGTTAAGGAAAAAACAAATAACTGAGTATGCACATAAAACAAATGCCTTTGTCCTGTATTGCTCATGTCTTGATTCAAAGCTCCCCCTATAATTCAGGATACCCCAGTTACTAACATGCCTGGTGAGGAATGAAGGGCGTCTGATTTTGAACCTCCTGAGTCAGGTGGGCAGGATGTATCCACAGGCTGTGTATTTTCCTATCAGGACCCTATACCTTACACTGAAGATAGAGCAGAGGGAGAGATGTGAGTGATTGAAATATTTTCTTGTCTAAGTTCGGGGTCACAGCAATGAAATAAACTGATTACTGTTAATGATAACTAAAGATAAGTCAAAAGGGAAAGATGTGAGTAGCTGAAATATCTTCTCATATTCACCAATGGTTTGAGTAGTGACCAAAGTAGAAGAAACAGTTAGACATTACATTTAAATTTAAAACCATAATAAGAATTTCCAGAAAAAATGTTGATTCTTAAGTGAATATTCATGCACACTCTTCTGTATACTGAGCAAGTTCTCTTTACTGGATATCTGGTTAGTGCTGTATAAGTTTTTATTCTGAAATTTGTGTAAAAAGAATAAAAATGATTTATTTTGAATTTTATCATCATTCTTTCAATAAGACAACTAATTTGGGTGCTAAGAAAAAATATTGATTTATTTTTAATTTCATAAAAAAAAAAGACAAAAGTGGTGAGCTCTCAGCCAGCGCTAGTTTCTCTCGAACCAGTCCGCAAGTCTCCACAACAACAGAATCAACATCAACAAGTACATCAACCTCAACAACATCAGCAGCAACCACCACATCAGCATCAACAGCAGCAGTAACAACTGCTACATCTGCAGCAGCTGTTACAACTGCTCCCAGCAGCACTGCTGCAAATGTGACAACAGGTGGCAGCACAGTGACCACAGAGGGCAGCACTATATCTGTGATGAGCCCAACCACAACTTCTGCCAGTGCCACTTCTGCCTCTGCTGTTTCTGGCACAGGAGGTGTGTTTTTTTACTTCAAAGAAAAAAATATTGAAATATTTTAAAGACCAAAATGTTGGTGTGTATTCATTGGAGTGACAAAAAATGATCTTTTTAAAATGATAAAGAATGTTTTATTGCTTTTTGAATGCATATTTTAATTAAAATACATTCTGCATCACATTCTTATGATGTTGTTGCTACAGATGAAAGAAATATATTATTTGATTTTTTTCTTTTTTTACTTCAAGCTGATTTGAGCCTCTCCACATCAGTAGTTACCTCATCTCTCTCTGCGTCTGCCAGCACAAGCCAGCTGGGTCACTCGGCCTCGGTTTCATCCTCCGTGAGCGGGTCTGACGGTGGTCCAATACGTGCGACAGCACCCATGTGGCGATGCAGTCGTATAATGCACATGCAGCGTGACCTTCATCCTACCATCTTGTCATCACTGGAAGGTATTGTGGACCAGGTATGATGGGATTTTTAAAAAATCAACTTTCTCTCCAAAAGATGAAATTATAATGAACAAGTGATATATTCAGTGAATGAGAAAAATAATTTTGGCCATCATGTGAAAGTGGGGAATAAAATTCAAGATGCCAGAACATAAGTGTTGTTACTGGTATGTACAAAAATGTAATGTGTGTAAATTGTAAACATGCTCAAGTTTACTAGATTGTACATAAAACAAAATATGAAAACATAGGCACAAAAAATGTGTTCCCTGTTTCTCCAATAAAAGATGTCACATTTAATATATGAGATGTGTGATGCTAAGTCATGATAACAACCTGCTGTAAACTCATTTTGACATTTTCAGTCTTTTGTGGTAGTCTCACATTATTGATGATTTGTACATGCTGTAAATAAATGCACCATACACATCTAATGGCTATTATCCATGATTTAAATGTGATTTTATCCCTTTTTTTTTTTATTCATCCAGATGGTGTGGTTCCGTGAAAACTGGTACGAGGAGGTTCTCAGACAGTTGAGACAGGGGCTGGCCAAGTGTTATGCTGTGGCCTTTGAGAACAGAGGGGCAGGTGAGGACCTCAGTTTTTTTTCAGCAAAAATTTGGTCAAATGTTCTCTCTCTCTTTCTAAAAAAAGTTCAACTTTTACCAAAAATTCTGTAAACAACTGTTGAAATAGTCTGGTGAATGAATATTTTGTCACCAATATTTTGGTGAACGAGGCTACTAGTAGTGTCACTCCATACACCTAAATTTTTTCTTTTCATCAACCATTTGCCAAAAATGCTAAATTTATCAAAATGTTAGCACAAAAATACCACAAATAGGATTCAATCTCATAAGTTATAAGATAGTTATAAGATAGAAATTGTATAAAAAAAAAAGAAATAGTTATACAATATAAGTGATTAGACTTAACATTGTGTTGCTGATATTTCAGTAACGGAGGCCACCATTACTCCCCACACCTTGAACTTTGTGAAGAAGCTGGTCAGCACGTTTGGTGTTGGCATAGAGAACGTCTCCAGTGTGCAGTCAACGTTCTCCAGTGCGGCCTCAGAGTCCCTCGCGCGACGTGCTCAGGCCACGGCACAGGATCCTGTCTTCCAGAAGATGAAGAGCCAGTTTACTACAGACTTTGATTTTAGGTTAGAATTTTTCTGAAATTATATCTTAGGAATATGAAGTGTTGTATTGAATGTGTTATAAATTATAAAGTGGATTACGCATAACTTTCCAAATAAATCAATATGTGATTTATTAATTAATTAATTAATTTATTTTTATTTATTTATTTATTTATTTATTTATTTATTTAGTGTGCCTGGCTCCACCAAACTTCACAACCTAATCAACAAGCTGAAAAAATGGATAAAAATTCTCGAGGCAAAGACCAAGCTGCTGCCCAAGACGTTCCTGATAGAAGAAAAGTGCAGGTTTCTCAGTAACTTTTCTCTGAACACTGCTGAGGTGGAGATCCCAGGAGAGTTCTTACTGCCCAAGGTTAGAACCTTTTTTTTTCTTAAATTTGAAATGAGTTCCCATAGCTACACAAGTGATGGGTGCCAGCTTCTTCAGTTTCAAATCTCCATATGACCATGGGTAGTGCACACCGACATTTAGAAAATTATGTTTTATGCAGCCATCCAGTGTTTGCCTCTTAGGAAAATTAGTCGCTGGACCGAAAGTCCCACCATCTTGAAAAGTAGCTGGACTGAATGTCAGCCGGGTGGGAAAACTTCTCAGCCCATTCTAAAAGTTGTCAGCCCTGGGTAGACGGTCCAGCGTTAATTTCTAACACTGCAGCCATCTCTTTCATGACTCAGAGATGAGCATGAGACAAGGTCATACTGGTAGTCTGGTGATTGGAGAGGTAAACTGGTTAAAATGCTGCCAGACTGACATATTTGAAAATGAAGCTAGCATGTATTGGTTAGTGGCTGAGAGTAAAAATGAGTTGCATATTCATAAGTTTAAAGTAGTATGTTGTAGTGCTGACTTTTTTTCAGTAATTTACCCAGTTATTTTAATGTTATCTATATATTGCGAAGAATGGTTGTTTATAGTTGAGATACTGACTTGTAGACATAACGATTGCAATAAGCACAAAATACAACTATTGCATCAAAAGAAATGACACAGTAAATAGCCTCAACCTTCTTATTCCTGACCTTCCAGCATAGCCACTACTATGTGAGGATAGCAAGGTTCATGCCCAGAGTGGAAATAGTCCAGAAACACAACACAGCGGCCAGGAGGCTGTATATCAGAGGACATAATGGAAAGGTGGGTGTGGGGTGATGAATATACATGTGAGAGGCCCTGAGATTAATATACATGTTAGGATATAGGGGTTGAGATAGTGCTGTTCCAATTTATTGGAAGGAAAAAAGGAAGGAAAAATATGCATAGGGATTGATTGTCAGTAATATGCATTTATATAATACCCATTGGTAATTGAATGATTTCAAACTTAATCAAGGGTTTCAAAATCCATGCATTGTGTCAAGCAAACTGTCCATCAGTTTCAGTCCTCTATTTTTATACATTTTCATTGATTATAACTTTATATTTATTGTCCACAAACTTTCTACTGATATTAACCCACTGTGTATAATGTTTAATGATTAAAACCATTGCCTTCAATCACCCACTATTGTTTTAAGATTTTGATATTTAAATATAAGATTTGGATTTTGCTATTCATTTTACCTTTATATATAAATAAAGGATCCTCTTTATCATTCCAGATCTACCCCTACCTGGTGGTGAATGATGCCTGTCTCACAGAGTCCAGGAGAGAGGAGAGGGTGCTGCAATTACTCAGAATGATGAACCATTACCTGGAAAAACAGAAGGTGGGGGGATGAAAGTGACTAAAAAAAATAGAAACTAAGAACTTGAAAACTGGTTTATGAAAAGCAAATCTGTGAACAGTATTAGACATGGTGTACCTTAGTGATTCGGGGAGAAGAGTTCAACGTAAATTTCCAGGAATATGACATTTTTCCTGTATGATGGTCTACTGCTCACTGGATGCTTTAATGGATTTTTTTAGTTATTTTTCTAGGCTGGAGCACTGTCTTGGTTACTTTAATCTCTTTAGATTAATTATAGATATAATGCAACTTCATTTATGGCACCTTATTTCTTCCTGTCAGGAGACAGCTGAGAGGCTTCTATACTTCACTGTTCCCAGAGTGGTGGCAGTGTCACCACAGATGAGATTAGTGGAGGATAATCCAGCCTCTGTGTCCCTGCTGGATATTTATAAACAGGTAAGCATGTGGAGAGAGAGAGAGAGAGAGAAATTATTTGCACAGTATATTGTAGTAAACTGGTGGCATGTAGTTATGTGTAAGATGAGAGAGAGAGGGTAAATTTAATTATCTCCTTGTTTTTAATGAATAACACATATTTGAAACCATAAGCTTGTACAGGACAGAAAATTTACATAAAAGCAAATTTACAATTGTTTTCAGACCAATTGCAACAGAAACAACTTCATGATAAAGTGTACATACATACATTCTCAAACATAAATTTCCAAAAGTACAAATGCCAGTATTAAAAAATTGAATATGATTTTACAGCGATGCTCAAAGCGTGGCATAGAACACGACCAGCCAATAGCTCGCTATTATGAGCGTCTTGCCAATGTCCAGGCGCGAGGTTCCCAGGCCAGCCACCAGGTGTTACGTGACATCCTGAAGGAGGTCCAGGGTAACATGGTGCCGAGAGGACTGCTGAAGGAGTGGGCCACGCACACCTTCCCAGACGCCACTGATTACTGGACGTTTAGGAAGACGGTAAGGACTGAGTTTCTAAAAAATATTAGACTTCTGTTTAAGATGGTATATGTATGTGATGCGTGACAATCCATTTTGCATTAATGGGTCTTATATGGTAGAGTTTGTCTTCAGTATAACCAAACTTGATCACAACAATCTTCGAGAAAGTTTCCCATTTCTCTGATTTTTCAATCACCTCTGATGAGCTTTTCTGGATTTGTTGTTTTAGATTGGGATCATGATAATATCCTAGTTTAATATTCCCCATCTCAGTTGACCAACCATCTGGCACTAATGGGTCTTGCCGAGTCACCACAATAATCCTAGAGAAAATTATCCAATTACTTTTTTGATTTTCCAGTATGTTCTGATAAGTCTTTCTGACTTTAATATTTTCTCTTTCAGTTGACCATCCAGCTGGCGTTGATGGGTCTTGCAGAGTTTGTCCTTCACCTGACCCGTATGAACCCAGACATGATGTATCTCCACCAGAACTCTGGCTTCCTCAACGTGGCCTACTTCAAGTTTGATATTGATGACCAAACAGGTGGGGATCTCAGAAAATAATAATAATAATAATAATAATAATAATAATAATAATAACTAGACTGCAACTGGCTAAAGCCAGTGGCGGAGGATTCCCCTGCAAAATAGGTGTGGAAAGGCTCTTACAAGGTCATGTGAAGGTCATGGGTTAAATTTGACCCCATATTCTGAAAGAGCATGTGCGAATTGAGGGGGGGGGGGGGCAAGAAAACATCACTTTTAGCCCACTTCAATATTTCTCCATGAAATAGCCAAATGACCTTGAAAATGAGGATCAAGGTCAAATTTGACATTTGATTTAGGGGTTTTGGGTATATGTTTGGGGTAGTTTACTATAGCATGCTATGACCAAAAACCAGTGTTTCATGGAGAAATTGCCAAACTCAAGATTTCTGCGATGTCATAAATATTTAAAAATCGATATTAAAAAAAGGAATTAGGCAGTCGCTACCAAAGTACGGCTAACCTTAGATAAATATATAGGGCATCATTTGTTACTATGATCGGGGCTCTGGGCCTTCCAGTTTTTTGAGATCTCGGAAACAAACCTTTTTTGAGCCCGTTTGGCCATTAGCGACCTTGACCTACTTGCATAAAAGTAGGTCATTATCTGTGGATTTGGCTCAGTATCATTGGCCATAAGGCCCTTGGCCATATGGCTAATACTTTAGGCCTAATGTCAATTTCAAATTTTACAAAATTTGCCTTTAAAAGCTCCTGTGACCTTGAAAAGTAGGTCAAGGTTACTAAAACTGGGTCTATAGCATATTCCTACCATAGGCTACCTATGTTAATTATTTCAGATTTTTTGCGAAAAAAAACGCGTCGAAAGAATAATAATAATAATACTACCAAAAACATTAGTATTCCCCTATGGGGAATCCTAATAATAATAAACTTTGGAACCAGAAGCTGATGATACAATAATATCATTATAGAGAATAGAATTAATTTAACATATGTACTAAGGTATAAAAGTAAATGAAAAATTATACAAATTTGTATTTTTATGGACATATAATTGTTTCCTCCATGAACATGACGCCATATAACTGGTACATTTTCACTCCCCACCAATGTTCTTACAAATAGCAATTCTCACTCTTAACATTCTATCATCAGGTGACTTGGACGCCAACCGACCAGTGCCATTCCGCCTGACCCCCAACATAGCAGACTTCCTGTCCATGACGGGGGTCACAGGGCCCCTTACAGCCTCCATGGTGGCAGCAGCAAGGTGCTTTGTGCAGCCACAGTATCAGATACACAGCCTCCTGAGAGCCGTCCTCAGGGATGAGTACATTACTTGGCATAAAAAGGTAGGGAGATTAGTTCATAATTAAATTGTACATTAGATAATTGACAGTTGCATTTTGTACTGTTGTTATTAGCATAGTAAGTAAGTTAATGATTTATGTGGCTTTTTTGTGCACTAAAAGATGACAAGAAAATTGAGTTTTATTTTAATTTTATTCTTATTTCATCTTATAAAGTGGTAAAGTAGTGGTATTTTTGTTATAAACTCAGTGTCAGATGCAATGGAATTTGTCAATATCCATATCAAGAACTTAACAGTACGAATATTTACATTTTGTCTACAGTTTTCCTTTTTTCATTCTTGACCATATTCTTACTTCGTTAATACAGAAACAAGACGAGGCCAATCCAGGAGCTCAGCCTGTTGACATGGATGGGGAGCTTCTTGTTGGCAAGGTTGCCAAGGCAGTGGGTGCCATAACAACCAGATTACAAAGTAAGAATGGTGTTAATCCATTTCTTATTAACAGGGATGAGATTTTTTCGACTTTCCGCAGATTTCTGACCTTTTAGGAGCTAAAATATAGGCCTTGACCTAAGCTGCTCCCTGGACCCCACAGCATATTTTCTGACTTTTTCACCAAATGGCAGTCTCTGTACTATTCATTTAAAATACAGTATTAGTATTTATACTTTTTTCTTAAGTGTTCGAAATTCACATGAATTAACTTGATGGTTTAAATTTGTTATGTAATTTTCATTTAAACTATAAATTTTGAATGTTTGAATATTATTAGTTAGTAAATACTGATAATACATACTCCAGTTAGTACCAGTAGTATTTCTTGTTTAAATATCATCACATAGTCCCAAAAACATCATTGTTAGGTTGGACTTTTATGTATATTTTTGCTGAAAACGTAGAGAATGGATGGCACTTATAGCTTACTCTTTGTGATTCTAGATCTGGCAACATTTGATGGAGCTGAGAGCAGAGTAAGCACACTGGTAGCTGCAGCAAACAGTCACGACAACTTGTGCCGGATGGATCCCGCTTGGCATTCTTGGCTGTAATTAAGCCATCACCCAACACTTAATGGAGCAGAGCTCTAGGACTATTTTTGCATTCTGTGGATGCTGCTTGGCATTAATTGCTTTAAGCAACCTGCCCAACTCTTGAAGCAGCAGTGGAGTAACAATCATTTGCACCATTTGGAATGTGACTGACATTTTTTTGCTGTAAGTCATCCACCCAGCAAACAATCTCACAGGTTTGGGGCACATGGATCCTGCTTTGTTTCTGGATGTGATAAATCAATATAATCTTTCAAGCTGCAACAGCAAATTCGATCAATGTGTCGTTCTGTGTACAATTTAGTTTGTAGTCTTTTAAGACAAGTCTGTTAAAACGATCTAGTCACATCTAGTGCATTGTGAAGTTGTTTAACTGTCATGAATGGCAATGAAAAAGACTTTATTTCAGAATGTTTTACTGTATTCCATTCTTGTGTATATATGAATGATATACTATTTGATAAGTTACTGAAATGTATGGATGGAATATCTGTTTGATCATTATAAAAATATATTTGGTGGAAACCATGTAGCATTTTACTGTACATTTGACCAATATACAATACAAAATACTATTGCAAAATGTTTCATTTCTCTGGTAGATTTTGAAGACTATATTATCTATTACATGTGATATATTTTAGGGAGCATTAAGAATAAGAAATTATTTCATTTGTGTATCTTACCCCGACTTTTTTACATTAAATCAAGGGATTAAAGATGAAGACCTGTCTTGAATAACTCTGCATTTTCTCTGTTATGAGCATTTTTCTGAACATTTGGCAGCTTTTCATTCCAGTTTGAAGATGAGACTAAGTCTTGTATTTCATAGTTTTACAATGGCAATACTAATAAAGTTATAAAATAAAAGCTATTATTGAAAATGGCATAATATTTGTTGTTGTTTCATAATAACAACCTCCTTCCCTTAAATAGTTTTTTTTTTCAAAATATGGATGGAAATACATATCATCTATAAAATGCAGTTAACATCCATTATCTATAGCGTCTCTACAGCAGTTTGATGGAGACCAGTCTAAGTTATAATGAAAAGAAACAAATGTTTTCATGTAGATATATCATCTATCAGATACTGTACATGTTCGTTTTCTTCCATGGCTCTGTGAAGAAATTTGGTAGACTGACTGAGGGCCTGTAGTTCATGCCACATTTGGACATCCTCTTCATTGTCTTCATCTGGAAGTAGCTGGGGCATAGTACCTAAACAGAACAAAAGTAAAATGTGAATGGAACTCTTACAGAAAATTATTCAAGAAGAATATACAAGTAGCCAGCAAATACACCACTGTGGGGCCATGCATCCTTCACATTACCACAAAAGGGCTTAGTAACATTATATCAATGTGTTTCAAAAGTGTAAAACAACTGACAGAAATATAAGCTGACACAAAAAAAATCAACAGATAAATGTTAATTTTGGATCTTCAATGTCACCTCAATAATCTCTCTCTCTCTCTCTCTCTCTCTCTCTCTCTCTCTCTCTCTCGCACAATGGCAGGCACACACACTATTCAATGTATTAAACTTAAATACCCCAAAATAAATGTATCCAAAACACTTATGTTAACTTGCCTGACTCTGTCAATAAAAAGTTTTCTCCAAACTCTGCAGAACTGTCTGCTAGTTTTACAGACAGACTTTTCCTGGGAGGAGTTTCATCATAAAATGTCAAATCTAACTCCATACGCTGATGCTCCTCTACTTCAAGATCTAAATAAAAAATAATAATAATAAGATTCAGAAGTGTGGATACATGCATATGTCAATCTAAACTGTTTTGATTTCAAACTACATTGAAGTTCATCAAACAATGTTTAAGTGACCAAAAATTGATGACAATATTATGATTACTGAACAGAACTCTTTCCAGATAGATATTGCTTATCATTTTCAATTTTTATTTTGCAGAAATTAATTTAAATCAAGTCTGAAATGTGTTACTTACCACACAGTCTATCAAAGCAGCACTGTTTACTCAGCTGTTCAGATTCAGCCAAGAGTTTGGCAATATCACCTTCATCTTCATCCTCTGATGTGGATTCTTCAACAAAACAAAATGATTAATAATGCTGAACTTTCTACCTCCCCTGTTCCCCCAAATACTTATCTAAAAAGCTAGAGTATTTAAATTAAATCATGAAACAACTTACTCTTTCTCAATTCTTATACAGTTATGTTTAAACGCTCAATATGTCAGACTGAGAAATAATATCTAAATACGTACATGTCTCTCAACTGGCTTATCACACTCGAAACAAACTCACCATTCAAGCTGTCATCGAAAGTGCACAGTTTGCTGAGGCGATTGCTTTCTTCCAGCATCTGAGCAAGTTCATTCATATCTTCATCTAGGGTGGAACCTATTAAAAGTAATTTTAAATGCATAAATAAGCTTTAGTAATACTTGCACAAAGTTCAGAGGCTATGACCTATCTATATGGTTTGGTTATAAAATACTATTTCTAATATAAGAACTTTATAACTCACAAGTAGATACAAAAATATAATCAAAAACATTCATTTACAGATTGAACTTTCCTTACACAAAGAGATGTAAATTCAATGAATACTTCAAAATTCTAATACTAGTAGTACACTGTACTTGTAGATATGATAATTTCTTGCGGATACACCACCAGAACCACATGGTTTTTTTCTTAGTCATAGGAGCATATGCACCTTCTGAGATGTTGTTCTTATTCGGTTTCCTTGTTTGCCTCAGTTTCTTCTCCTTTTCTTTTGGCTTTCTTACTTGGGCAGAGTAACTTTTCCCAGCCAGAAACATTTCATAAGGCAGTAGATTCCTGGAAGATTGAAGTGAAAAGTGTTATAAGAGGCCTTAGTACCAGTAGAGGCAGGGAGGGAGGGAAGAACAAAGATTTTTCAATAAAAAATAAAGCAAAAAATGCTGGACAGTCATTAAAGTAGCTCACAAAATACTGAAAAAGAGTGATGAAACTTTGTGGATTTGTTACAGTGTAAGAGTAATTCCTTACTTGTAAACAATGCCTGTTAAAATTGCTTCATGATCCTCCACACAATTCAAGAAGAAAATGACCAATATGCCATAAAATATACAAATAATAAAAGTTCAAGTACCTTTCATAATAATTCTTCACAGTTTGGCCATGCTTCTTAGCTCCTGTGAACTCATTGTAAATTGAGGACCAGGCCCTGTCTACACAAACCTGCAAAAATCAACACGTGGTGACATCCTTATCCTAGTCAGTGGAAATAATTGATTACAATGAAAAAAATCCAATTTAACCACAATTAAGTAGCTGTAAGTCAAATATTTTCAACTTAAAAATCATTGTTCTATAAATCAACAAAGCTGTAAAATATTTTGCAAGCATAAATGCTGACCCAAAGAATAACTGTCAGTGCAAGTAATAACAAATAAGAACAAAAGGCAAGACAATACGAATTATTCTAAAATGTTTTATCTTTACAACAGATGAAAAAAAAAAGGGACAATAAAAGAAGAGTTATTTTCTCACCTTTTCATAGCCTCCCCTGTCGTGGACAGCCAGAAAGAGCTGGAACAAACTCACAGGAGTATTCTGCCAGAAGGGTAGCCGCATTGTACTCAAACTGTTCCTTTCCTTGAAGCGGGTGAGGTCATGTTCAAATGCTCTCTCATTTCTCTTATACATCTGAAGAAAATTTGTACATTACATTTTAGCAGATTGTGAATTGTGAAGCGGATTAAAATTATATATATCACTAAATATGAAACTTTGTATGATAGCTGGGTAAAGGTAATATTTGCTGATACTTTTTCAGGTCCAAGTGTTTGGTCGCTTGTGTTTTATTAATGAATCCAAGAAAAGATAAACTTCACATAGATTGATGAATTAAAACTGGGAAAAATGGTAAAAGTAATATTTTTTTAATAGATTCCTCCATGTTCATGTTCAACTAATAGTTTTAATGAGACTGACGAAAAACCGACCGTATGTTTTATTTGATTACCTCAATATCTATAGCAAACTTTTCAGCTTTTGATTTTTCAAGCAATGAAACTCCAAAATTTATGTCTGGCATATTTTTGCTGTGGATATATGGAGCAGACAAGTCAGAAGTCAAACTAGAACTATGCTTTCTTGCATGCTGTTTACAGTGCTCTCTCTTTCTCATTTCTTTCTTCAGATATTTATTCTCCATGTTCTCTTTTCCTGATAAGATACAATAATTTTCAAAATAAATGCACATGAAGTTTTTAGATATGGCAAGCTTTTGTTCCTTAATTTTTACTATATACACGTAGATAATTTAGTCATTCTGATATTCTAAAAGGCAAATCTAAACATTACGGAAGAGAACATAGAACACATCTCCATGTATTAATTTCCCTTAAAATGTAAATAAATAAATAAAGTGATAAATTAATTAATTAGATCAGTTTTTCAAATTTTTCTAAAGAAGCAAATGTTATCAGTCTAACCTGAGGTAGTTTTCTCTTGTGCCTTTGGCTTGTCTACAAACTGACACAGTCTCAGCCTCTCCTGCAGAGAATGCTTCACCAGCTGATCTGCTTCCACTACAGCATCCTGTACATCATGTTTCATGTACTTGTTCCTACTGACAGGCCTGGGCTGGTAGGTGAGCTTTAAACCTTTGCAGCGCTTTTTACGTTTAGGACCCTGAAGTAATACAAAGTGATCAATTAGTTATCAGAAATAAATTTTGGCAAAATGAAAAAAGTCATCTATTTTAGGTTTTTCTTCTGAAAATTAGCCACTAAAATTCAGGGTGCATGAACACTGGCTGATAAACAAGAGAAAAAGAGGTGGAATTTTTCTTTGTTAATCGGTTCTAAGAAAAAATATACAACATTCAGTCTACCTGTACATGGCATGTGCCTGCTGTTCCACTAATCCTGTCAACATGTCCATAGAGCTCCACGCCTCTGCTGAGCACCCAGCCATGTGAGTGTGGGTTACCTAAGAACTCTATGTGATACCAGTAGGGTTCTCCATCACTGTCCAGGACAACATGGTCTCCACCCTCTGGGTCAGCACTCACTACACCTGGCCATCTGTAACATACAGGATTTTTTTGTTTGTTTGTTTGTTTTTTTCATTTTGCAAGAGTAATAGCGTTAAAAAATAATAATTCGATTGATATTACATTCCTGTGTCAACATGTCACAAAAGAATAATAAATAAATAAATAAGTAAATAAAATCAATAATAACAGTGATTTTATTTACAAATTGCTTTTTTAGTTTCTAATGACACTGCTAGTAGGGCAACTCTAGTTTTGCCTTCAAAGATGAATAAGTGAGCAATAAATAAATAAATAAATAAATAAATAAATAAATGCCTGCAATATCCTGGCATTTTAGCCCAGACTAAACTTCCAACTGGTAACTCTGACATGACAAAACGATATCCGCACTCATCAGCGACCCTGTCTGCCTCTTCATGGTCCTCCTCGGGAGCGTCACAAGTTCCATGCTCCTTGTCATTGTTCATGTGGCAGAACCAGGATTTGTCCTTTATCTCGCTGGCCGCCGAGTTGGAGATTCTGCGCCATTTCAGACAAGTTGGGTTTTCACACTGCACCCAAGTAGACTGTGAAACCTGTTTCAAAAAAATTATCTAACTTTTTAAAAATTATTTTTTAAGTATGAAATAAATTAGCCTCATGGCCAACTTCTTTATTTTAGATTTCATACATACCCGCTTGTCTCTACTAAACTTCAGAAATGTTGGATTATATATATAATAACTTATAAGTTTACATTGCTGGTATGTTAAGCAAAGAACCCACTAAAGCAAAAACAGTCAAACAACACACATCACACATCATGATTTAGGGAAATCACNGACTAACTTTGAATGTAAAAATGGATTCATTAACCATTGGTAAGTATGGGAAAATTGTTGCTTACTCCAGGAAAATTCATTTTTTGACCGAAACGAAGAGTTATTATCCCTTTAAGCAAAGAACCCACTAAAGCAAAAACAAAAAAAATACAAAAAAAAAAAAAAATCACAAAATCTGGATACTAGTATAACCAAATGAAAGCTTGTGATTGGTATAGAAAACATCAATTACATCATTGAAGTAAATAAGCGCGTACAGACAGAAATTTGAAAACACACAGCTGACATGAACCCTGGGTAACACATCTTCAGTTAATCACTATAAGCAACAGTCTGAATAATAATTAAAAAATACTTTTTACACTAATTGGAATATACTCTCTGCTTAAGGAAAAAAATGCAAATACTACAATTAAGTGAATTTCAATATTCAGAAAAATATTAATTTAAAAAAATACTCACCTTTTCTTCCATTTCCTTGATCGCATTGTGGTTGTGACACTGTTCAAGGCAATCCACTTCAGAAGGAATGCTCATTTCTTGTTCTCTGAAATTCATTTATTTCATGTTTGTATTACATGTTTTAAAGTGGTGTTAAATAATAAATATTACATTTTATTAAAAAATCACTTGAATTTACTTTAGAGCTTAAATCATAATCTGTATCCACTAAAAGATTAATAGGCCTTAATGAAAAGTGTGTGAGTTGGAGGGGGGGGGGTCAGAAAAATGTGAATACCCATAATGTGATTGGGTTAATATTCTTAATGACATAGGTGGTTAACGAGTAGCAGCTCTCTGTAAATGGGGTCAGATAATGGAATTTGTTTTTAGTATTGATTTGTCCATTTATTTATTTGTTTGGTTGGTTTTAAACTTTAACAAGCAATTAAGCAGCTTAATTTTTGGTTTAGTTGGTAAATTAATTTTTTTTCCAATTTTATTTCATGGGGAAGAATTTGGCAAAATCACAGTCTAGGCAATTTTAGAGCACAGAAATATTCTGGGGTCAGTTATAAAATCTAAATACCTCCTACTAATTACCAAACCAATTTTCTTTTTTTTTTTATTTGAAAAAATGATAAATAGCTAATTTTAAATTATTTTTAATTTTTTTTTCTGGTCTTAACCTGATTGTACATGTAGATCTAGCCTTGATACATGTACGATTTTAAAATGTGTGTTCACAGTTGGTCCCATTAACTAGGGCTCAAATTTCCTCTGCACTAAAAAATACTCTAAAATGTTTAGGATAGATGTTTTCCACTATCAGCAAAGGAGGATTTTATTTTTAAAAATACTGATAGTGAGAAAACTCCACTGACACTGCAAGCAGACGAACTATTCTTTCCTCATATCTATTCAAGGATTTAATATATAAATTTAAATCACGCTTTTGATATTTACATAGTATGATTATTCTAATTGAATCTTAATCAATTTGGGGAAATTCACACGTGTTTCAAAACGGGATTTAATCAAAAACTTACAGATTACTTAGCTTTTCGCTTGGGCTCGCTGAAACTTCGTGACCTTGAAATAGTCTCGTTCTCAAAGACACGCCTCTCATTTTAATCAGAGAGCAGAAATAATTATTACACATAGATATGTGATTTGTCTTATTTTGAATGTAACCTTTCTTGAAAAAAGTTAGATTTCTTTGCAACATGAATAATATTATCACTTGTTGTTACTAAAAGACTTTCTTGTTTACGCTTCAGTGCGTGCGTGTTAGAGAGTACAGCTTAATCGCCATATTGTTCTCACAAGAATAGGAGATAGGCAGTGCAAGCCGAGAGGGAAATATGCTTTTGTAAGTATTTCAAACAAAATAAACTCGACAAAAGAACTTTGAGAAGTTATAATGTATTACATCTTGTTAGTAAATCTGATTTTCACTGCGGAGAAGTCGGTTGTTGGTAATAAATGTTGTCTAGTTGTGAAGCTAAACTTTCTCTATGAAGTCGACGTACTCGTACTCGACGACAGGTGTCTGCTTGCATCGAAAAAGTGGGAGTCAAATAAGTTTGTTGCAAAAGTGATAGAAATATTACAATTTCTAAATTAGATATCACTTAAATAATTTTGAAGTTTCTTGGTTGCTTTGCAGCCGTGATTTCCAGAATAGGTTATTGAATGGTTGAAAACACTGCATTTAACTTTTAAATTACAGTTTCAACTTTTAATGTTTTATTAATGACAGTTATTGCAAGCGTTCTATCAAAGGAAGTACTTAGCAATTAAATTATGTTAATGTACATATTTTCATACTGTCAAAACGGTTGATCTGCTTTATTTTGAGGTATTTTATCCAAAAAATCGGTCTCAAAATGAGACAAAACTTACAGGTGTTACAAACTATCTGCGCATCAGAGATTATAATGTAGTTTTAATTTGACAAATGAAGTGAATTATTAACTAACAAAGTGAAATATGAACATCTTATTAAAATGCATTAAAATATAAAGATAAACAGTGTTTTAAGTTTTAGGGATGCACATAGTATTTTATATTTTTTCTTTGTCAAAAAGTTTGGAATTAAGGAGACAAACTGATTTGTGTTGGAGAGTTTTAGTGGGAAGACTCAATATCTTCATGACTGTATGGTCCACTTCCTTCATTCAGCACTGTGGTCTTGGTCAGTCGTGACAGAAATAGTTTTATTGTGGGTACAGGGTGTTATGCAATAGCCGGTGTGTGTATGCTGGACACATAATACATGTCATAAGTCGCAAGTCTACGGTTCAGAAAGTTTGCCGAAAGACCTTTGTAAACACAATTTATTTATCATTTATATTTGAATTTTACCCTGCTCAGTGACCTAAACACTTGGCTGGAAAGCGTTTTTCAAATTGTTCTTCAAAGTGTTATCTCGGTTTATGGAAGTCTGATTTTATTTTCTATTACGGATAGTTTCAACTTACATCCAGTTAAATTTTGTTAGCAGAATAGATTTATGTAAAATTGATCAAAAGCCTGAAAGTTTTTCTTTTTCTTCAGTCAAGTTTTCTAGTAATCAAATTTATCCATTACTGAAACAATTTCATCAATATAGCACATGTTTGGTAAGTTTTTAAACATGAGCGAGTCAGTAAACATTTTCACCGCTTTGATTTCTCAGAAAGCTAAGGTGAATAGTGAAAGGCCTGAATGAAATTGATTCCATTATGTTGGTATTACTCCATTTCAATTAGAATCACAAAGCTGAATCAATATGCACAATGGGTTCTTTGACTCTGAGAAGGTCTGGAAGTTGTGTTTGCAAACAGATTAGCCTCGCTGAAGATACCTTTTGAATACCTAAGTCTCAATTGCATTTTTACCTGAAAGGATTAAAAGGAACAGTCACACTCGTTTATCCAGAACAAAAATTTGAAGCAATCCACGGTGAGGTAGATTGTTGTCAGTCCTTTAGTCGATGTAGCTTCTGTTTTGTCAAAGTAAATTGCTTGGAGTAATGCTGTGGACCTGCCAGTATGGCAAGCCTTCAGAAGCTGCTAAACGATAATTAATTACCCCCTAGCAGTTTCCATAGGTGTGACAGACATTTAAGCTGCTTAAGTTGATTGCAACTGAGCGAGAATCCCCTCGGAGATAGATCGATCCACAGTACAATAGGGTCTGGGAATGGTCCCTATGTCTACAGTCAGTGGAGCCTTGTTTCCATTTGAAATGTGTGAGCTGTCCTAGACAAGTGTAACTGAGTCTGGATAATGTTAAGAATAACGACTCCCACATTATACTAGTTAATGTTAAATATTGCGGTTTGAGGTAGGAGAGGATTTGGTTTGTGAGTGAAGTATTTGTCTTTTGTCAGACAAGTTGCGTGCTTAGAGCCATAGCTAAACATTATTAGGCTAGATTTGTATGCATAGGGATAATTTTGGAGTTTTGTCAGGTCTGAGAATATCACATGCTCTCCTTTTTTTCTGTCCACATTCAGCGTACAGGTACAGTAGCGTTGTTTTTGTAATTGTTTATTGCATGAAACTGTGGCTGTGAAATTAGGGGAAAAACAACCATTGCATGCGTAAGCTCATACACATATTCCATCTCAAGTATCTTCATCGTTTTTTGGAGGCATCTTTATTTTATGTATAATATCTTTTTAAAAAATTCATCTCATTACCAAAATGAAAATGAAAGAGCGAAGCCACGCCCACCTATTTAGAGATTTCATATGTCGGCAGTGACAGGCTTAATCATCCTGTTTTTGGGACTGGAATATTATCTTTCCATGAATAAAATGTTATCAGTCCTAATGTGATTGTTATTAACAGGCAAACAAAAAGGTTTTATTTGGTGGGATGGGGTGATTGAGTACTGAGAATAGTACTATGTGTGAATGCAAACTCAGATTGTATCTAAAATTTTGTTGACAAGCACTGTTTTGATACTAGCAGAGAGAAAGAAAACAGTCTTTGATTGCAATCATGCTGTCTACGCCCTAGAGTGACCTGTGATTGCAATCATGCTGTCTACTTCCTAGAGTGACCTGTGATTGCAAACATGCTGTCTACTCCCTTGAGTGACCTGTGATTCAACCGTGCAGTCTTCTTCCTGGAGTGAGTCTTCAAGCAATTTTAGTCAAAACAGTGCCTAATGTGACCCTAAGATGGACTACTTCCACTAGACTAATGCCCTGG